TTTAATGTATGATATTAAAATATTATAAATAGATTAATATGAAAGGCACTAATGATTAAAATATTATAAATAATAAATAAAAATATATTAGTATGGCAGACACTCTTATACTAAATATAATGTGATGTATTTAATTTGTAATATTAAAATATTACAAATCAATATATTAATATGGAAGACACTCTTAAATATAATATTAATATTAAAATATTATAAACGGAAAATATTAATATAGCTTCTCTCCCGTTTTAGTTTGGCAAGGCACCAGCACTATTGGGCAGAGGCGGCAAAGGGCTCGCAAAACTACAGCTCTAGGATGTTGGTGGTGTTGTTGTTTGAAACACAACCAGATGAGTCCTCAGCAAACAAGATCACTCTGCTGGCTGTTGTATTGGATCACACGTTGGACACTTCCCAAGTGTCTAGGACTGTGCGATGTATTGGCGAATAAGGTGTGCAGATCCCAGTCGGGTGGTATAAAGATCTCCCCGCGGGACCTCAGTAGAAAGGATCCTGCCAGCTGCTACCACCATAAAGGATCTGGCTGCTGGTCACTAATCTAAGAAAGCGTGGCTATAACATATCCCACTGCTGAACACCACTGTGAGTGATTGTTTGCAGTATCACACCACTAGACACTAGTGTGGTAGCAATCTGGTGCTATATATGAAGTGTATACTGGTAGAGTGCATTGTCCCCTTCTGAATACTTTGGGAAGTGCTTCATCGGAGAGGCTAGTGGTTCAGACTGGCTTTCATTTTGACTAGATGTGGATTGTTTTTCTTCTAATTCCCACATCCGTTCCTCGTGCTTCATTCTCTCCCTTTCCCTCTCAGTTTCAAGTTTTCTTTCTCTCTCCCCCTGGCTTCAAACTCCGTCTTTCTCTCCTTCTCTTTGGCCTCATGTTTCATTCTTTCAGCCTCAAGTTTCATCCATTCCCTCTCAATTTCCATTTCCAGTTTGAACTTTTCCAATTCTAGGGAGGTAGTCACTGACTCAGGAGTCCCTTCCCTTTCTTCAACCACACTCTCTGGCATTTCTGCCTCTTGTCCTTCCTCTACCCCTCCGGTCTTTTTATTCTTTGCTGGAGCCATTAATAAGGACTTTCAAAATGGCGTCTCTTGGCAGTTTCTGAGGTGAAATTGCGTCCAGATAGCTTTGGGACAAACTTTTACCTCAGCTTTTTGTGTTTTAAGACAAAAACGCACTGGATTAGGCCTTCTAGTTGCTTATCCCGCCACTTTTTTTTTGTCGTGTCAGGAGTGACTGCAAATCGCTCCTGGTGTGAGAGAATTGGCCGTCTGCAAGGACGTTGCCCAGGGGACGCCTGGATTTGATGTTTTTATCATCCTTGTTGGAGGCTTCTCTCATGTCCCTTCATGAGGAGCTGGAGCTGATAGAGGGAGCTCATCTGCCTCTCCCTGTCGGTCTTCAGTCCTGCGGGAACAGGGCTTTAACCCACTGCGCTACCGGGGGCTCCATCCTGCCACTGGTCACCACTATATAAAGATTTCCCCGCTGGACCTCAGGATAAAGGATCCTGCCAGCTGCTACCACCATAAAGGATCTGGCTGCTGGTCACTAATCTAAGAAAGCGTGGCTATAATATATCCCACCGCTGAACACCACTGTGAGTGATTGTTTGCAGTATCACACCACTAGACACTAGTGTGGTAGCGATCTGGTGCTATACATTAAGTGTACTGGTAGAGTGCATAGTACTTGTCTTTCAGTCTTCTTTTAGTAAAATGCTGCCACCAACCAACCCAAGATACCTTAGGATTTCTAACATGACCTTCTGAGGTAAACTTTTCCCTCTTCTGCCACCACTACCCTCCCTTTAACTCCAAAGGAAATGGTTGTCAGGGTTAGAGGTTTTTCTTCTTCTGTGCTATAAGGATGTTGAACTGCCTGGAAATGTTACCCAAGGATTCCTGATAGAATGAGTAACGCTAGAGGCTTCTTAAAAGTCAAACAGTGAAAAGATTTATGTATAAAAACCAACGGACAACTGATTTCTTCTTTCAAAAGGCGCAAACGCTTGACTTGTTCCTATAGCACAAAACCTTAATGGTTGCTTAATAAAGAGGTTCTTGACTTGGTTCCAGAAATCCCTCACTCTTCTTCCGCGAAATAGGAATGAGTTTCTTGACTAACCTAATCCAGGCTGTTTTCTGAGTCATTAGCTAACTCTCCCCACAGTCCTTGTAGCTCACTTACTCGAACTAGAGAGCAAATCCCTTGTGCTGTCCCCACACAAGTAATTGGGAGGCTTCCTGGCCTTTCTTGCCAGCTATTCAGCCCTGCCTGTCACAAACGCTCTCTCAGAAAGAAAAACAACCCAGTCTCCAAAACCACATCTTCTCCCTTCCGTTCCCAAAACCCTTCTTCTCCTTTGAAGCTGAAATCTTCCTTTTCCCTCCCAAGACTTGGCTCCTCCTCCTCCTCTCTCTCTAGCCAATCCCAGGAGACCTCACACTCCTCCCATCTTCTAGCTATTTCCCCCTCAAGATGGCTGCTTTCCTGGCAGACACTCTCAAGATGGAGGCTTTGCCCTACTGTCATCCAGGCTTCTATTCTGGCCTATTAGGCAAGAGTCATTACAGGTGGCCTTTTGCAGCGGACAGGTGGGGATTTTGTCAGCGCTTATGGTTTTTAAGTGCAGGCCAAGGTCTTGAGGCACTGCACCAAGTGTGCCAATCCCCTCTGGGACCCCCTTGACTGGCTTGTGCCACAGTCTTTGCACTTCAATCTTTAAATCCTTGTATCGTGTCAGCTTTTCCAGTTGTTTCTCTGCAATCCTGATGTCACCTGCGATTGCAACATTGACGATCCCAACTTGGTTTTTAACACGATCGTAAGGTCAGGAGTCTTGTGCTCCAAAACTCTGTCAGTTTGAATTTGGAAGTCCCAGAGTAGTTTGACCTGTTCATTTTCTGTAACCTTTTCCGGCTTGTGATCCCACCAGTTCTTTGTCACAGGCAGATGGTCTTTCTGGCACAAGTTCCAATGAATCATCTGAGCAAGGGTGTTGTGCCTCTGCTTGTAGTCTGTCTGCTCGATCTTCTTGCAGAGTCTACACTTGGGATCTGTTGCCAACTTTTCAATTCTGGCTTTGATGGCAACATTATTATTTAGCAGACCTTTAACTGACCACTGGGGGATAAGTATCTCTTAATTAGGCATGTTTTTAATAATGTTTCATTGAAAGTTTTCATGGCCGGAATCACTGAGTTGCTGTACATTTTTTGGCCTGTCTAATCATGTTCCAACAGCATTCTCTCCTGATGTTTCCCCTACATCTGTGGTTAATGGCATCTTCAGAGGTTCTCTTGGTAGTGAAGCAAGTGGAGTAGTGTATATATTCCTATGGAATAATATCCAGGGCGGGAGAAAGAACCCTTGTCTGTTTGAAGCAAGGGTGAATGTTGCAGTGAGAAAGCTTGAATTAGCATTGGAGTAGCCATGAAGTCTGCAGAGTCAATCAGTGAGGATATCTGCAGAGAGGCAGCCTGGCCTCTGTTGCCTGGAGGCACCCTCTGTTTGGGAGGTGTTAAGTGGCACCTGATTGCTTGCTATCTGGAGTTCTCCTGTTTCTGAGTGCTGGACACAGAATCTTATTTGAAAACGCAGAAATGCTGGGCCATTCACACCTGCTTCAAGCAGACAAGGGTTCTTTCTCCCACCCTGGACATTATTCCACAGGGACAGAGACACTCCACTTGCTTCATTGTCCAACTGAACCTCTGAAGACCCTGATGTTTGCATTTCTGGGTGTTTCCATTTTCAACATGACCCATGAAGGGAAAGGGGGAAATCGTGGAGGTAAAGGAAGTTTCTCACCTTCATCCTTGATCTTTTGCTTCTTTCTTAACCAGAGAAATGAGGATTCTATGGAGCCACCCCTTGGATGCAGCAATGAAATCAGTTATATAGGAAGAAGAACTTCTCTCTAGGTGAGGGTCTTGCCGAAATCTTGACCTCACGTACAGACAAGGAAGGAAAAAAGAAGACTGAAGCATCTGTATTGCAATCAAACACCCATATCATGGCTGACATGGAGGAGAAAGCATTGATATGCCTGGAATGTGGGAGGAGTTTCACTTGGAGGGCTCATCTGAAGCGACATCAAAGGATTCACACGGGGGAGAAACCCTATAAATGCCTGGAGTGTGGAAAGAGCTTCTCTGAGAGTTCAGATCTACATATACATCAAACGATGCACACCGGGGAAAAGCCCTATACATGCCTGGTGTGTGGGCAGAGCTTCACTCAGAGTTCAGCTCTACATAAACATCGAAGGATTCACACTGGGGAGAAACCCTATAAATGCCTGGAGTGTGGGAAGAGCTTCACCCAGAGTTCAAATCTACATTCACATCAAAGGAGTCACACTGGGGAGAAACCCTATACGTGCCTGGAGTGTGGGAAGAGCTTCAGTGAGAGTGCAGCGCTATGTTCACATCAAAGGACTCACACTGGAGAGAAACCCTATACATGCCTGGAGTGTGGAAAGAGCTTCACTACGAGTGGAAATCTACGTTCACATCAAAGGACTCACACTGGGGAAAAACCCTACAAATGCCTGGAGTGTGAGAAGAGCTTCTCTAGGTCTTCTGATCTAGAAAAACATAGAAGGATTCACACTGGGGAGAAACCCTATACATGCCTGGAGTGTGGGAAGAGCTTCAGTGACAGTTCAAATCTACGTTCACATCAAAGGACTCACATTGGGGAGAAACCCTATACATGCCTGGAGTGAGGAAAGAGCTGCACTGAGAGTTCAGGATTCACACTGAGGGAAAATCCTATAAATGCCATGAGTGATGACAGAGCTTTACCCATTGTTCAAATTTACGTTCACATCAAAGAACTTACACATCAAAGAACTTACCTATAAATGCATAGTGTGTGGAAAAAGATTATCTGAGAATGGAAATCTCCATAGACATCGAAGGACTCACACTTGGGAGCAACATACATGCTTGGAGTGTGGAAAGAGCTTCATTCATAGTTGAGGTCTATGTTCACATCAAAGGACTCACACTGGAGAGAAACCCTATAAATACATCGTGTGTGGGAAAAGCTTCTCTGAGAGCAGAAATCTACATAGACATAGAATCCACACTGGAGAGAACAGTGGTGTTTGACCCCAAAGAGAGTTTCCCAGATAGAGCTTTCCAGACTTTTCATGTTGATGAAACTCTTTTTAAACATGCATCCTTTTGTGATACAGTAATTTAGTTTACTAGCAAGCCAGAGGTTAAACCACCCCATATAAGACTTTCAATGCATAATAATAATCTAGAGAGAGACGTTTCAATAGAGAGACAGCAGACTGAGGGATAGCCTTTATTTCGGAGCTGTAACTATACAAGGCTCCGTGGTTTTGCATTGATGTTGCATTGGGGGCTGGGTGGTGGTGGTTGGGGTGTGGAGGGACGGGTGTGTTGGTTTTGTGATGTGTGCTGAGGAAAGCATTGGATTTTGTTTTATGGTGTACAACAACAATAAAATTACTCTATAATTCAATTCTACATTTATTTATTTACTTACATCATCTTTACTGTATAAACCAATTATTCGGTATTGTTGAAGGCTTTCATGGCCAGAATCTCTGGGTTGCCGTGAGCTTTTTGGGCTGTATGGCCAGGTTCCAGTAACATTCTCTCCTGACATTTCACCTGTCCTAACGTTTCTTCAGAGGTCTGATGGAAGCGAGACTAGTGGGGTGTGTATATCCCTGTGGAATAAGGTCCAGGGCAGGAGAAAGAACTCTTGCTTGTTGAAAGCAAGTGTGCATGTTGCAATTAGCAAGCTTGATGAGCATTGAGTGGCCATGAAGATGCCAAATCAGTCAGTGAGGGTATTTGCATAGAGGTGGCCTTTCCGATTGGATGCCCAGTGTATCTGTCTTTGAGAAATCCATATCATTCGGTTTGTATTAATTTAAGGTAAAGGTTTTCCCCTGACATTAAATCCAGTCATGTCTGACATGTGTGGGACTCTGGTGCTCATCTCCATATCTCCATCTCCAATGCCAAAGAGCCGGTGTTGTACGTAGACGCCTCCAAGGTCATGTGGCCATTGGCATGACTGCATGGAGTGCCATTACTTTCCCGCCGAAGCAGTACCTATTGATCTACTCATATTTGCATGTTTTCGAACTGCTAGGTTAGCATAAGCCGGGGCTAACAGTGGGAGCTCACCCCGCTCCCCAGATTCGAACCTATGACCTTTTGGTTAGCAAGTGCAGCAGCTCAGCAGTGCAACCGGGGGCTCCTACTGTATAATTTAGGTAATACATTTTCCAATCCAGTGGCTAAAATTTTTGCAAACATTATATATTCCTGCTTTCATAGGCTGATAGATCTCAAAGATCCAGTCTCCCTCAAGCTTTTCTGTGGTTCCAGAATAACTATAATTTCCGCATGCCTCCAGGTATCAGGTGCTTTCCCTCCTTCCAATATATTATTGAATAGGGCATACACCTCCAGGCTCAGTACTTACTTATTCGATCCCTCGTAGCCCAAGGATGAGGGTCCTCCAAGTGCTGTGTCTTGGCGGTGGGTCCATAGGTGGCTTTAGGGGCTCAGCCTGTGGTTGTCTCTTTGCTTCAGGCTTCTGAGGAGAATGGCCATGAGTCTGCAGAGGTTCCAATGTCTGAGTTAGATGATCAGGTTTCTGCTGACTCTCAGGGGTTTGTGTCTAGAGATGATGGTCAAGAGAGTACAATTAGCCAGAGTGAGCCTGAGGATTCTGGGATAGTTGGTTCCCAAGGCAAAGATGCTGCAATGCTAACAGAAAAAGAGGCCGAGGAAAAGGTTGAGCGGCCAAGGCCAAATAGTGATAGTGAAAGGAATGTACTAATTGGCAAGCTGAGGGAGGACCAGACACTCTTTGATGGGAAAAGACAAATCAATCAACATTGCCACCTAGAAGGGGGTAGAAGGTGGGTTGAAAGATGAAGAGAAAAAAGGGGTCAGGGAGAGGTTTCCCAAGGGAAACGGAGTGCTTTTGCTGTGGCTTTCTGAATAAATATAGGGCCTGTGAATCTATACTCTTCAGTGAGATCAACGTTTGGTTTTCATGTGTAACCACGCCTTTTGTTTCATGCCTGGTATCCGTGCCTTCTTGTTCATGCTTAGATTCCTGTGTACTTCTGCCCGGGATTCACGTTCATGCTGAGATTCTTGTATGTGGTTGGTCCTGGTTTCAAGCTCCTGCATTGGGATTTAATGGTTCAAGTTTGCTGCTTTTTCTTCAAGGGACTTTGGTCTTTGCAACCTTTTGGAACTGAAAGACTCTATCTCCTGTGGACTTGTTGATTGGATTTTTGCAACCCTCCTAGTTCCTGACTGATAATTGACTGTCTTATTTTGCTTTGCTCAAGTGACTGTTTTGTGGACATTTCTTTATTACTTGTTTGAGTGCTTTTTACCTTTCTGGCTGTTGCTATATTAATCCTCAATAAATTGCTTTGCTATAAAGAACATTGGTGTGAGTCGCCTCTGACTGAGAAAAGCAGTATACAAATACGGTAAATAAATAATTCCCCCGCTTGACGCTGCTCCTTCCTCCTATACGTCACACATTCCAATGATGTGGATTTTTTGATAACAGACTTCTGGGCGTTCTCTTCCAGCCATGCCGGGGAAGGAGGAAGATGTGTGTGTGATTTCTCCTGTATAAAGTTATATTTATTATTTTTATTATGGAAGCTTCCCATCAACAAGGTGAAGTATCATAGCAATGAAGATGGAGAATAAAGTTGGGGCAATAACACATCCCTGTTTGACACTGGATCCCACCTTAAATGGGTCACTTTGTTTATTATTATTATTTATTTTTATTTTTCTGTAGCTTTTAGAGAGAAAGCACTTTTCAGAGAGAAAGCACTTGCTCGGAAAGGAGAAGGCAGCGATGGCGGGGAATGAGGGGGATATTTTCCCCTTCCTTCTTTGCTATCGCTGCCTTTTCCTTCTCAAGCAAGAGTCGGGGAGGAAGAGAAGCAGCAGGAGAAAAGGGAGGCACGCTTCTCTCCCTCTCTGGCGCCTGCTCGGAATGGAGAAGGCAGCAATTGGGAGAGTGTGTATGTGTGCGTCTGTGACGATGTGTAACTTTTATTCGCCCTGCTCTCGATTCCGCCTGCTTCTCAAGCACGGCTGGCGGGGACGAGAGATAGGGCCTTCTCGGTGGTGGCTCCTCGGCTGTGGAACGCCCTTCCTACGGACATTAGACTAGCACCATCTCTAATGGTATTCCGCAAAAAAGTGAAGACCTGGCTGTTTGAGCAGGCGTTCAAATAATTAGTGCAATGATTGGTTAATGAACACTGGAATTGAACAATGGATGACGAATCTGGATCATGTTTTTGATGACGAGATGACAGTGAATGGGTATTGCAGTAACTGTTTATTAATTGTGTAATGTGTTAGGTTGTTAACTGTTTTTATACTGTAGCACTGAATTTTTGCTGTTCGTATTTGTTGTGAACCGTTGTGAGTCGCCTTCGGGCTGAGAACAGCGGTATATAAGTAAGGTAAATAAATAAATAAAACTCTTGAGGAGTGTGGGGGTCCTTTTGTGATTATATTTATCTGAAATGTATTTACTTGTATTAATTGCACTCAGGATGGATTCATTGGCTTTCATCATCATCATCATCATCATCATCATCATCATCATCATCATCATCATCATATATTTAATTACTTATTAATCGCCCTCCATCCGAGAATGCTCTAGGCAATTTACAGCTAAGTTGTAAAAGATAAAATACATACATACAGAAATTAACAAAGATTGAATGCTCTCGTCAAAAGCCAGGTCTGAAGTGCGAGAGTAAACGGTCCTCAGTCACGCATGGCTCTCATGTCGGGTGGCAAGGAATGCCATAAGGCAGGGGCAGAAAGAGAGAAGGCCCACCTGCCCAAGGGCACCTCTCGAGGACCCGGTATAGAGAGTAAGTCATGTTGGGCTGTTCGTTGCGACCTCCGATGATGGGAGAAGGAGAGGCAGTCCCTAAGGTACTGCTTTATTTATTAATTGTTTTATTTATTTATTATTCGAACTTCTATGCGGCCACTCCCCTGGGGCTCGGAGCGGTTTACAAGAACAGGCTCAAATGTAACAGAACTTTAAAACAATTTAAAACAACAACGTCAGAGATCAAAGGCCTGTCGAAAAAGGTATGTCTTACATGCCCTGCGGAAAACTGATAGGTCCCACAAGGCACGGACTTCAGGTGGCAGAGTATTCCAGAGTGATGGTGCCACTGCTGTGAAGGCTCTGCGTCTGGTTGCTGTTAGGCGCAAGGTCTTGACACTGGGAATTTCCAAGAGATCTTGGTCCTCAGAACGGAGGGATCTCTGGGGTTGGGAGGGGTGAGGCGGTCCAAATGTGGCACACAGGACTACCATGACCAACAGAAAACACTAGAAGGGTTTGGTGAGCATTGATCTTGCGTTTGGGAGTTGTAGATCACCTACATCCAGAGACCACTGTGGACACAAACAATGATGGATCTGGACCAAACTTGGCACAAGACCTCAATATGCCCAAATATGAACACAGATGGAGTTTGGGGGAAATAGACCTTGACATTTGGTCTAGATCAACAAGGGTCCAAACCAGACAGTGCTGGGTCCATGCTACACTACACCTCCCGGGATCCCACAATGCAGGCAGGCAATATGATTATTATTACCATTAGTAAAGAATCCTATTTATGGTTATTTATGTCTGATGCTGAGAACCCCTCCTTCTCCTGCTCCCAATGATGATTGTGATGACTCGGCCTAGGTTTTACCTCTCTGTTTGTTCCCTGTAGTTGGACTGTTCCATTTTGCCAAGTTAAGGGGAGAAGCTTAGG